TCACATACACACACACACACACACACGCACGCACACACACACACACCTGCTCCCGGACCTCCAGTTCTAGATCCACAACCACGAGCCGCATGGCCAGGCCCAGTAAAAGTACGACACCCAGCGCGTCACTGTCGTACCAGTGCAGCCCTGTGAGGTAAAGCGAGGGTGAAACGTGGGGCGCGGAGAGGCGCTGGTGGTGATGGTGATGGTGGTGAGAGGAGGGGCCCCAGCTGTAGAGGAAATAGTGCGGGCGTTTTTTTTGTCGAGTAACGCTATGCTGCAGCAGCAGCACAAACGGCTGCAGCGACTGACGTACAGATTGACATGTGATGATGATGATGATGATGATGATGATGATGATGATGATGATGATGATGATGATGATGATATGCATCTGGACAAGGCCTCTGATGCATGCACGGGAATTCAGTTGGCTGGCTAGAATTCAGTTGTATACGGCTATGCCGCCCATAAGCACACTCACCCACGACGCGTACGGAGACGTCCCCCTGACCAGATCTGGATCCAGATTCGCCCGCCAGCACCGCCGCCGACGCATTCCAGATCCGCGTCACCGTCAACGGCAGCCGTTGCGCCAGCGCAGCGGCGGCCTGCGGGTCCAACGACGCCACGGCGGCGGCACCGCCACTGGCCGCGGCTGCCGCCGCCAGCGCCGTCGACGTGGCGGCGGTAGCCGCCGCCGCCGCATTGGCGGCGGCAGCGACAGCTGCCGTGGCGGCTCCGCGCGCGACACCCGTAAAGGCGGCGGCGGCTCGTAGAATTGATCTCCTCGCCGGGCCCGTTTGCTGCGACTGCTGCTGTTGTATCGGCAGCTGCGCCGGCTGCAGTACCGACGGCGAGCCGGGCGACGGCGATCCTTCTGACGGCGCACCAGCCACCGCCGGCGGCGGCCCCGTCGGTTGCGGCGAGTTGTGATCCCCCACCAGCGGCACGTCCACGAAAAGCACCTGGTCATGCCAGCCAACCGCCAGTACGGCACACACGGCGGCGGTGACGGCACCGTTGCCGCTGGCCGCGGCGAAGGTGGCATCAGCGCTGGCGGCGGTGGCAACGGCAACCGGCGGCGGCCGTGCAGACCGCCGCTGGTGCGGCAGCCATGCTGCGCTCGGTATGGACGGCGACGGTACGGCGGCGGGTCGCGGTATCGAGTACAGCGGCAGTAGCTCCCCAGATAGCTTGAACCTGCCAATATGGCAGCCGGAGGTGGCGCAAAGCGCAACAACGCCGTCGCCGACACGGGCACCAGGCGGCGCCAGTGCCGCCGGCGCGTCGGTTGCCGCAGCCTGATGCTGCTGCTGCTGCTGCTGCTGCGGCGGCGGCGGCGGCAGCGACGGCGTTGCAGCAAAGAAGGGCGTGAGGTGTACGACGCTGCCGATGCTGCCCATGTTGCCTCCCAGTACGATCCGCGAGGCGACGGCGGTCTTGAGTACGACATGTGTGAAGGTGTGCAGTAGCAAGTTGCCCCGTCGGTCGGCAGAGAGAGCCATGGAAGCGCCACGGCCGGGGAAAAAGCTGACGTGGACGACCTGGCCAGATACATACATACGTACATACCAAACAACATGGCGGTGTTCATCGGATAGCGCCCCCAGCAAATATGTAGGTGTGCATCAGTTAGCCGTTAGGGTTATCATGGCTGCGGTGGGATCGGTTGGTGAAACGAAACACATGAGACATGGATGCGGGCCCCTTCTTCCCCCCCCTTCTCCTCCACCCCACCCCAAACACCCCCACCCCTCCTCAAACACCCCCACCCCTCCCCCCACCCCTCCCCTACAGTTCATTTCTGACTTCCTTGCATATGATGCCCCCCCCCTCCCCCTCACCGGCAGGTCATGTTGTCCCGCAATGACCGCCACCTGTTTGGGCGGCCGCCGCTGCAGGTCCCAGGCCACCACAATGCCGGAGGAGTGACCCACCAGCAGCCACAGGGGGTCGCCTGAAGGCGGTGGAGGGGGAGGAACCCGGGGGAGGGGAAAGACAAACCACGAGTGAGTGAAGCTGCTGCCAGGGCAAGAGTGGGGAGGGGGAGGGGTATCACATCAGGATGATGCTGGTGATGCTGGCGTTGCAGAAAAGAAAAGGAGCAGCAAAAGGGGGGGTCCCAAAAGGACATCATTGCATCATTGTGTTTCGACAATTACTTGCTAACCTGCACCCCCCAAGTGCTGGTGGCTGAGAAGGGAGGGGAGCTGGGGAGCTGGGGAGGAAAACCTGGACGGACATACATACATACACACATGCTGTCGGCCCCTGCACCAAAGACACATAGCTCGGGACGGGGAGGGGGGGAAAGAGCGGGGAATATACACAACACACAACACACGCAGCACGGCTACTCATCCCCGTGGGAAGGTTTGTGTGTATGTGTGTATGTGTGTATGTGTGTATGTGTGTATGTGTGTATGTGTGTATATGTGTATAAGCTGTTGCTAAGAAATTGCGAAGACCAGAAGCAAAAGCACGCACTTGGTTTACTTCTAAAGAATCAAAATAACCGTTTGTTCCGGCATAAATTGTAGCTACTTGATCTTCTAATGATAACGGAGAAGCTTGAGGTTGTTTAAGAATTTCACGTAAACGTATGTGTGTGTATGTGTGTGTATGTGTGTGTATGTGTGTGTATGTGTGTGTATGTGTGTGTATGTGTGTGTATGTGTGTGTATGTGTGTGTATGTGTGTGTATGTGTGTGTATGTGTGTGTATGTGTGTGTATGTGTGTGTATGTGTGTGTATGTGTGTGTATGTGTGTGTATGTGTGTGTGCCTGTGTTGAGGGGGAAGGGAAATTACCCTGGTATGTCACTGAAAACACACGGATGTCGAACACCACCTCCTTACCCTTCGACACACGACACACCGACATACATACACCGGCACAAACGCCATGCAAATCACCCATATCAGTGTGGCACGCGTATTCATTATCATTATCAGGCACATATCATGTTTGTTTGCTCATGGTCCACGAGGGCCAGGGTAAAATACCAAGATATGAGTTTACTAAATGCAAAGCAGCGTTTGTTCCCCGTACAGAATCTACATACATACATGCATACATGAATGCATGCATACATACATACATACATACATACATACATACATACATACATACATACATACATACATACATACATACATACATACATACATACATACATACATGCATACATATCCGGACATCGAACGCGTACCGGGCCCAGCCACAGTCGACAACGCCAGCGCCGTCACCGCTTCCGCCTCGCTCCGGGCCTCCCCCACTGCCACGATACCCCCGGCCCCGCTGCTGCCAGGCCCCGCTCCGCTCCCCGACCCCCCCCCGCCGCCGCCGCCGCCAACTCCTCCACTACCGCCGTAATCCAACCCGCCCATCTGACTCAATGGCTGAGCAAAAGAAGACGTCGGCGGCAGCGGGGCGCCGCCTTCGCCCCCCCCCGCTGCTGCTCCCCCTCCCGCGGCTGTTGCCGCCGCGCCGCTGCCGCTGCCGCTGCCGCCGGTGGCCGCCGCCGCCCCCGCCGCCGCAGTAGCAGCCGGCGGCAGTTGGAACACCAGCGCCACTCCGAGCGAGGTGCCCACCGCCATGATGGCGTTGGAGAGGGCCACCACCCGGGGGCGACCCGACTGCGGAGCGGGGGAGGGGGATGAGGGGGGGTGGGTGGGGAAAGACGAACCACACGCGATTGAAGCTGCTGCCAGGGCAAGATAGTAGCAAACGAAAAAACTGACCGAAAGGCGTCCGTGGCGACTGTGACGACTGTAACCTCGGGATGACGAAGTGACGTAGAAGTTGGAAGTCCTACCTACCTAAGCCGCCAGAAAAAAGGCTGAAAAGTATAGCCAAACCGTAAAGTAGTAGGTGTAAAAAAAGTAGTAGTGAAGGCGGCGAGTAAAATAGTGCTGACGTAAAAGTGGCGTAAAGTTGCTGGCCAGGAGAGAAAGCTGAATTGCTGATACTGAAAGGCTGCCGGTATGCAAGTGCTCCTCCCAACCCCCCAAAAAAACTAGAACGCGCGACTGACCCGACCGACCCAACTAAACTATTCCGACTAGCCTACCGACGCCAACGCGATATACCAAAGAAGCTCGAACCACCCTTTGGACTCACCTGGCCAGGCCGCAGAAGTAGTGGCAAGAGGCACATGCAAAAACATCGTGGGGGGGGGTGGGGGACAGAGGGCAGGTGGATAGGTAGTAAGGGTAGTAAGGGTAGCTAGGTAAATAGTAGGTAGCTAGGTAGGTAGGTAGGTAGGTAGGTAGGTAGGTAGGTAGGTAGGTGGGTAGGTAGATAGATAGATAGGTGGGTAGGCAGGTGGGTAGGTAGGTAGGTAGTAGCATTATTCTTATCATTGCATTTATATAACTCAAAGAAATAGCGACCGCGTTGTCCAAAGGCATCAGGGGTAGTGTGGAGAGGAAAGCGGCGTTAAAAAGAAAAACAAGGTAAGAAGTGTGCGGCCTTCCTCTCCCGCAGCACCCCACCCCACCCCACCCCACCCCACCCCACCCCTCACCGTCAGCCAATGCGTCGTCATGTCCGGCAGTGCCACGTGCAGCTCCTCCAGCCGCAGCGCCACACTGCCGCCCACCATGGCTCCCGAGGCGTCAGGGCGGCCCGAGGGATTCCAGTCCTGAGCCGCATCCGCCAGAAGGGCGGTCAGGCCGGAGAGAGGCTCCAGGGGTCGCGACCCACGGGTCTGGCCGGTGGTGGTGGTCATGGTGGTGGTGGTCATGGTGGTGGCGGTAGTGGCGAGCATGAGAGCGGTTGGCGGAGGGGTGGAGGCGCCGTGGGAAACGCCCGTGATAGCGGAGGGGCCTGTTGACGTGTCGAAGCAGGGTGTGGACGTGTGTGTGTGGGGGGGGGGGTGTGGGGGGGGGGTTGGGGGGGGAAAGGTGGAGAAAGGGTTTGCGGGTGCCGGTTGGCGGTTGGTAGTTATTGGGTGGTACAGGCCGGAGGAGCCCCAAGGCGCTGTGGGGGCAACCCCGAGGCAACGCTGAAGCGGGTGTGGCAAATGGGAGGTAGCCATAACCAAAACCCATACATGCCTTATGCACACATACACACGTGCACACACGTGCACACACACACACACACGCACACACACATATCGCGGCTCAGATTATCAAACACGCACGATGCAAGGGTACACTTCAGGAGGTCCGCTCCCCACCTTCCAGGAGCGCCGCCTCAGCCGCCTCAGCACGCAACAGAGACACCTCATGCGGCGGCAGCCGCTGCTCCAAATCCGGATCCAGATCCAGATGTGAACCCACATGCGTATCCAGATTTGGATTCGGTATTGCCTTTGCCTGGCCGCTGCCGCCGTCGGCACCGCCGGTGCTTAGACCGTCAGCGGCCTCAGCGGCCCTCTGAGGGCACGGAGCGGCCGCAGCTGTAGCGGGAGCGACTGGGGGAGCAACAGCCGCGGCAGCGGTGGATGCGGGTGCAGCAGCGGCGGGTTGGGAAGAAGGAAGGTGCTGGGCCAGCGGCGCTGGCGCCGACGCTGACGCCGTGGGCTGTGCGGGGCTGGGGTGCATGAGCCCCCCAGCTGAGTGCAACTGTACGGGAGCCAGCGGCGGCGCTGGCGGCGCTGGTGCTACAGCGACGCTGCACGTACTCGCTTGGTGCGATCCGGCCATACCCTGCGGCGATGATGCACCCATGCCAGCTGGCGGGGACGAGGACGACCCCGTCAAGCGACTTACGTCAGGAACCGCCGCCGCCGCTGTCGTCGCCGCCGTCGCTGTCGCCGCCGCCGCTGCCGCCGCCGCTGACGTCGCCGCCGTCGTTAGAACTGGGCTTGACAGCGCCGCCGCGTGCTCCTCGCTGCTGAATACATCTGACAAGTCGAGCTGATCATCGCCGTCCTCACCGTCCTCTTCCCGGTTTTCAGCGGCAGCCTCCGCCACCGACTCCACCATCCGTACAGGCCGTACTTCCTCCGCAGCGGCTCGTCTCTCCTCCTGCGACCCCGCTTCCGTCCTTCCTCCTGCTGCCGCCGCCTGCCCGCCGCTGACCGTCTGGCTTGGCGGCGGCGCCGCCGTCAGCGGCAAGGCTGCGTTTGTCGGATCATCGCGACTTGGCGTCGCCGCCGCCGCTGTTGTGAGATGATGCTCGTCCTCCTGCGGGCTTCCAACGGCGCCGTACCTTGCCAGCAGCATGTCAACGTCGGAGCTGAGCAGGGCCGGCAGTGCAGACAGTGTCGAGGCCGGAGGCAGCGGCGGCGGCGGCGCAGATGGTGATAACGGACGGAGGGCCGTTGCCGCCGGCGCTGCGATGGTCATTGCCGGTGCCGGTGCCGGTGCCGATGCGCTGTCAGCAAGGCCCAGCGGCAACATCCCGATGAAGTGCGATGTCGCGGATGCCGGCCCCGTCGCCTGCGCAGGCACTGCTGATGCCTGTGGCGCTACAGCTTCAGCCTTAGCTATCGCCGCTGCTGCTGCTGCCGCTGCTGGCGGTGCCGCCAGCGCGGGAGCAGGCACCGCTGACGCTGCTACGGCGGACGGTAATGGCGCCGCCAGGGGTTCCGGATCCGGCTCGCCAAACTCCAGCAACATGCCGCCAAAGGCCCCTGAGAGGTACGGATGTTGGTACGGCTGTGTTGGTACGGCCGAAGCTGGCGCCGCCGCTGGCAACGTGACGGGGCGTGGGGTCTGTGACGTGGACGGCGCCGTCAGCATGTCCAAGTCCGCGAAGGCCATAAAGGCGTCTTGCGCGGGGCCTGCCTGGGCTGGCGGCACTGCCGCCGGTACGGCGGCAGTGACGGCGGCGGCGCCGAAGCCGTCGCCGCCAGCGAGCCAATCCGACAGGTCGAAGGGTGCCGCTGCCGGCCCAGCTGCCGGCGCCGGTGCTGCTGCCGTCGACGCAACCAGATGTACGGCGGCGTCGACGTCATCAACGGGAGAGAGGCCCGCAAGCGGCGGCGGCGGCACTCCTGGCGACGACGCTGCCAATGCCGACGCCGCCGCTTGGGGTGGTACAGCAAGCAATGATCCTGACGGGCCCTCCTCGTCAGTACGAGCATCGCTACTGGCCGGCGGTTCGGGCTCTACTAGCTTTCCTCCTGCGCCGCCTGCTAGCAGCGTCACTTCAGACGAGGAGGTCGGTTGGGCAGCTGCACAGCCAGGTGAGGCACCTCCTGGAAGACCCTCGGGACCCGTCGCCACGTCATCCGGCCGTGTGAGGTGCGCCGCCGCCGCCGTCGGAAGCACCTCCATTCTCCCTAACGGCATTGACGCCGACGCCGCCGCGTCCGCAGCCCCCGTCGGCGCCGGTTCCGGTGCCGCCGCCCCCAACGTCATCAATGGCGTAAATGGCGCCGTCGCGGCTTCCGTACTTTGATGCAAACCTGAGACATCTGACGACGCTTCTTCCAATGGCGGCATCGGCGGCGTCGGCAGCACGACGGCGGCTGCGTCCGCTGCCGGCTGCGGCTGCGGCTCCTCCGCCGCCGCCACGGGCGGCAGTCCCGGCGGCATCGCGTCTTCCGTTGGCACGTGTACTCGCGGTGAACCCCCCGCCGCGTCTGTCTCAAACTCCCCTCCCGCCGCCCGCTGCCCGCCCTTCTCAACCACATCCGCTACTTCCGTTCGCTCCGCCGTCTGCATTTCAGTCACCTCGCCCGCGCTGCCCGCAGCCGAAGTGTCACCGTCCGCCTGCACCTGCACAGTTGCCGTCACCTCCGCCACCTCCGCTGCCCCCACCTCCGTCACCTCCGTCACCTCCGCTGCCGCCACCCCCGTCACTTCCGCTGCCGCTGCCGCCACCTTCGCCACCTCCGCTGCAGCGTCTGCCGGCAACGCACCTCCAATCAGTCCCCCCTCCACAAAACCCGGTTCCACCTCCACATCAGCAGCCATCGCCGCCCAGGAGGGGTCCACGACAGCTGCGGCGACTGCACCACCATCAGCCTCCCCAGGCGTGTCGCCGCCCATCTCCGACTCCGCTCCCACCACCCCATCCATCCCCGCCACCCAGCCAGCCGCATCGTCTCCCGCCTCCGTCCGCCCAGACAACGACTCGCTGGCTGCTGGCTCAGGGACCACCACATGCAGCCTCGTCGACTCAGACGCCCCCTCGCGTTGCCCGCCCTCAACGGGCTCCTCCTCCTCCTCCTCCTCCTCCTCCACTGCTCGCACCAACACGACGCCTAGGTTCGCCGGTGTACCGGCGACGGCGGCTGCCACCGACTGGGACCTACCCTGGAGCGACTCCCCCACTCCTACAGCCCCTACAGGTTCTCCACCAGGACGCGCCGCCGCCGCCGCCGCCTCGTCCTCCTCATTCGCTTCCTGTAGCTGTTGCAACTCCTCGTCCGCTTCCTCGCCGCCGTCGCTCGTGCTTGGAGGCGCCGACGACGACGGCGTTAGCGGAGCCGCCGCGCCCACCGCAGCTCCCAGCTCCGAAACCTGCGCCATGCCAGCGTCAGGCTCCGCTAACGCCGCCGCTACCTCCATCCCCCTGGGCTCACGCCTCGCTCTTGGCTCTCCAATACCTGCAGCTCTCCCGGCGGTGATGTCGAACGAATCTGTCTGGAACTCGTAGACTGGACTGGTGCCTTCCGTGGCGGGGGCAGGCTCCGTCGCCGCGGCCACTGCCGCCGCAGCCCCCCGCACTCGATCATCATCCCCCAGTGGCACACTCGTGTCCCCGACAGCCCGCGAAGACCCCGGGCCGTCGGCTTCCCTGACGACTGTCCCTGGAGCAGTGCCGTCGAGGGGCTCATCTGCTTGAGCACCGGCGCCAGGCGACGGAACCAGAGCGACGTCGACGTCGACGGCGGCGCCTGTGCCATCGGCTGTAGCCTCCCGTTGCGTTGCTGCGACTACGTACGGTGGTGCTGGTTCCGGAGCGTGCTGTGCTGACGCCGCTGCGGCTTCCGGGGGGCCATCTACGTCCCCGTAGAGGAAGCCCTGCCCTGCCTGCGGTGCGGCAACTGGCCCGTCAGCCTTCCCAGTCGCTTCTTCTTCTGCTGCTGGTGCTGCTGGTGCTGCTGGTGCTGCTGGTGCCCCAATGTTGCCCAGCGCGGCCGGGGCCCCATCCAGCACTATCGTCTGTAGTTGAGCTGCTTCACGCCGCGCTTCCTGCGCCAGCTGCGATTGTTCCTTCCCTGTCCGCACCTCTTCGACCACACCCCCAACCTCTATCACAGAGTCCTCCCCCTCCTCCTCCTCCCTCTCCCTCTCTTCCTCCTCCTCCTCTGCGTGCTCTCCTACCGCTACCTCCCACATCCCTCCTCCTCCTCCCTCAGCTGCTCCTGTGTGGCGTACAGCAGCCACCTCCCGGAGCAGAGTTGCACCCACCATCGCGGCAATATCTGTGGGCGCATCCCCGTTTCCCTCCCTGGAGTCCTCCGTCTCAAGAGATGGGAACGACACAGCTGCGTTTGCAGTTGCCCCCGCACCGCACCGGCCGTCCTCGGCGGAGGTCGACGCCGATGACGCTGACGCCACGCGGCCTGGCGCCACCGCGCTGGGCTGCTCCCCCTCCTCCACCCCTTCCCCCTCCTCCACCCCTTCCCCCTCCTCCACCCCCACCTCCTGCTCTCCGAATGCAGCAGCAGTAGCAGCTGCTCCTAATGCGCCTGCTGCCTCGGGCGCTGTAACCACCTCCCCTGGAGCTCCCCTGAGCGCTCCCGCCGCTGCTGCTGGCGGTACCGCAGCGGCTGCTGCTGCTGGCTGCACTGCCGTGGTCGTAGCGTCGGGTGCTGCATCGGACTCCCGGGCGATAGGCTCGGATGTGAAATCTACCGCATCCGCATGCGCGCCGGGTGCCTTTGCCAGAGCCACATCCCCCAGCGACGGCAGGCCCGTTGCCGGCCGGACCATGACCCCGGGGGTGAGGTCCAGATCTTTCGTGTCATCTGCCGCCTGGTGTCCTCCCGCCGCGTCCTCCTCCAGCTCCGGCACTATCGGCGGCGGTCCCTCTGCAGCCACCGGCTCCGAAACCGACTCTGCGGCCGTTGCCGCCGCCGTCGTCGGTGCCTTTTGTTCCTGCAGCTCCTCTGTCACCGGCGCCGGTGCATCGTCCTCTGCCGGCGGCGCCGGCGGCGGTGCTGCTCCAGAATCCACGCCCACAGTGATGCCATAAGAACACGGGGCCGTGGCATCTGCCGCCGCAGCAAGTCGTCCCGGCGCTTCCTCCTCCTCCTCCTCTTCCTCCTCCTCCCCCTCATCATCATCATCCGCCGCCTGCACCTCCGACGTCGCCGGCTGCTCTACCGCCTGCGCCTGCTGCGCCTGCTGCTGCTGCCGTTCCTTCCCCGCCGCTTCCGCCTCCACAGCCTCAACGACCGGCGGCGACTCGGGCGTTGAAGCTTGCTCGCTCTCCATCCCCTCCATCCCCACCATCCCCATCATCACCGCCTCTACCTCCGCCTGCGCCTCCAGGTCAATCTGTCCGGAAGCCGTCTCCTCCGCTACTTCCTCTGCTACAGCCGGTCTAAATACGCCGGGTGCCTCCTGGACCAGTGGCTGCCAGGGCCGTTGAGCCGCCCCAAGATTCGGGACCTCGCTGCGTTCCCCTACCCCTGGGGACCCCACCACCACTGCTGCTGCTGGTGATGCTGATACTGGTGATGTTGGTGATGCTGATCCTGGTGCGGATTCCGGCGCTTCCGGTTCCGGCTGCGGGCCCCGACAGGCAGCTGGCCCCGTGTCGGTCCTGGGCTGAATACCACCCGCAGGAGCACCAGCAGTAACAGCCGCAGGAGCACCAGCGACACCGTCCGCAGTTGCATCAGGAGCAGGAGCAATAGCAGAAGCTGTGGCACTGCCCTCACCGCCTGTAAGACCCGTAGCAACAGCCGCAGTAGCAGGAGCATTAGCAGAAGCAGCGCCATCCACAATAGCTGCAGGAGCATCTACACTAACATCAGAAGCCAAAGTTGTAGTAGCAGCAGCAGTAGTAGTAACAGTAGCAGCAGTAGGGCCCACTCGCTGATCCCCCTCCTCGTCGCCGTTATCATCGTCGCCACGTTCTAACAGCGTGAAGGGCCCCGAATGTACGGCAGACGCATCGACGACATGCCCGCCACTGAGGCGCCTCGCCCTCCCCCTCCCGCTGCCGGCGCCGGCGCCTCCGACGGCGAAATCGCCGCCTAGCAGCCCTCCATGGTCCGCCTGCTCCACCGCTGCGCCCGACGACAATGCCGAAACAGGACCAGGTGACGCGAGTGCAGCGGCGGGGGGCCCGACGGCGGCCCACGGCGACGCCGTCTCCGCCGCCTGTACCTCACTCCCCGGCGACCCTCTGGGTGCGTGGTCGCCGTCAGCGGACAGCAAGGGGGACTGCAGGCGGGACAGAGGGTCGCTCTGGACAGTCTGCTTTGGTATCCACCTCCGCCCGTGACCAGCCCACGGGTCCGAAGCTGTGACGGCGGAGGCGGCAGCAGCGGTGGCGTCCGTCGGCACATGAGGATCGAGTACTGCAGCGTCAGCTTCAGCGGCGGAAGGCGCTCCCGCAGCAACCAGTGGCGGCGGCGCCGCCGCCGCCGCCGCCCAACCTGCACTTCCCCACTCGTCTGAGGAGGCAGCCTCTCCTGCTAAGGTGCGACTTGGACCGCCATGTTGGCCAACGGCAGTAGCACCATGTTCCCGTGTTTGCGCTGCTTCTAGTGCTTCACCAGCTGCTATAGCCACCTCCTTTGGCTCCATACTACGGACTACAGCCTGGGCCAAACCCCCGGAATGGTCCTGCGGTGGCCTCTCCGGGGGCCTCTCCATGCGATGGAGCTCGTGAGCTGGGGACACTACAGGCACGGAGCCATGCGTCGGCGCTACCGCCCACTCCACGTCGCCCCATTCATCACACGCCGCCGCAGCTGCCGCCTGCATATCCACGTACCCCGCTGCAGCACCACCCGCCGCCGTTCCTACCGGCGGTATCGCCTCAGCGGTACTGCTGTGGTCCTCCGCCACACCCCCGGACACGACCTGACGTGCCGCCACCCATTTCGCCTCGTCCCACTCGTCCGAGGTGGTGGCGGCGGCGGCAGTGGATGCAGTGGTGGCGGCAGCGGCAGAGGTGGCAGCCTCCTGCACCTCAGTGGCAAACGCGACCGATGAGCGGACCTGGGAGCCCTCCGAGACAGCGGGGACTGCTGCTGCTGTGGCTGTTGCTGCTGCTGTTGCTGTGGCTGCTGCTACAGCCGATATCCAGCCGGCGCCCCGCCAGTCATCGCCACCGTCATCGCCTCCTCCTGCACTGCCACCACCTATCGCGCTTTTACTGCCTCCATGACCTCCACCACTACCACTTTCCCGGGGGGGAGGGTCACCAAGCGCGGACAGCTCGCCCGGCTCCGCCGCAGCCATGGGAGGGCGGGAAGCGGGTGCCTCGTTTTGGGGTGAAGTGGCGGCGGCGTCGAGAACCGGAGCTGAAGGCGAGATGATGTCCTCCAAGATCTTTTCAATCTCCTCCGCTACCTCGTCCAGTGTCGTGACCGTCCTCTGTGTGCCGCCGGCGCTGCCGTGAACACCCTGGCTCGGCGACAGCCGCGGCGACGGCGGCAGTACCGGCTGCGGCAGCGGCGGCAGCAGCGGCGGTGGTGTGGAGATGCCTGACACAGGGCCATCGCTTCGCGCCAGGCGCGCCAGATCGCCTAGACTAGATCCCAATCCCGCTGCGGCAGACGCGGCTGCCGCCGCCACCACCGCCGTTGGCGGCGTCACCTGTCGACTGTCGTTGATGGCAAAAGCGCGGCTGGCAGTGCGTTCACCGACGACGCCGGCAGGTCCGCCGCCACCGCCGCTGCCGCCACCGCCTGCGGCGACGCTAGGTGGCTGGCACCAAGGTGTTGTTGGCTGGGTGGGTATTGTGCCAGCAGCAGCTGATGACGGCGCCAGCAAGAATGCCAAGTCAGCCAGAGGGCCCAAATCATCACCTTTGGCAGTGGCTGCGGCAGCAGCTCCCGCTCCCGCTCCCGCTGCTGCTACTGCTACTGCTGCTGCTGCGGGCGTGCTGTTGCCGGGTCCCGCCGGCATAGGACCTGAACCCGCTACTGCTGCTGCTGCACCCACGAAATCGCCAAACAACAGATCGCCAACAGCAGCAGCAGTAGCAGAACCACCACCATGACCACCACCACCACCACCACCATGCCTGACACTGACACCGTCATCGTCTTCCATCAAAATCAACGGACACGGCAGCGGTGTTGCACCCGTCACCGCTGCCGCCGGCATTGCGGCCAGCCGCTGCTGCTGCTGCTGCAACGGCGATGCCTGCAACACGGCGATGTGGGTCGGGTCCGAAAAAAGGCCCCCTAACGGGTCCACGTCATCATACCCCACAGAAGGAGCTGCAGTACTGCTCGCAGGTGCTGACGGCGGCTGGGGAGCAGCAGGGCCTGGAACGGCCCGCTGCAATGGTGGCGGCGGCGGGGGTGGTAATAGCGCGGGTGGCAGCGGCGGTTGCGGCGCCGCCGCCGGAAGAGGTGTGGGAAATGAGGGGACGTCCGGGTCAACCTCCAGCCCCGCAAACAGGTCGTCATCATCCGGGGCCTGCTCGCTGTTGCCGCTCGCGCTGGGGAGCATGAAGCTGGGCGCACTTACGCGGTGGGGAGGGCCCAAAGGTGCGGGTGAAGTAAAGGCAGGGGGGCCGGGTGAAGGCAGTGAGCCTGAGGCTGAGGCTGAGGCCGGGCTTGCTGATGGTGCTGGTGCTGGTGCTGCTGCCCAAGGTGGGGGCCCAAAGGGCACAGACCCGTTTCGTGCAGGCGTTCTGCTTAGGATGGATTGTGTGAAACCCGAGGGTGAGGACAGCGGGATCGCTGCAGCGGTCTGGGGATCTGGTCGTTGGAGTCCTCTGTTGAAGGACTCGGCCCCATCCCCTAGGGCGGCCCATTCGTCGCCTGGGAGCGGGGCTCCATGTCCACCGTACGATCCCGCAGCGCCCGTCAAGACATCCGCAAGGTTCCCAGCGACAACAGTGGCATGATCCAAAGCTCGGGAGGCCTGCATTTATAAAACGTTTTTTGCGTTTGGCAGGTCCCTTACAATACTGCGAAACCGAACCGGATGCGGTGATGGCAGAGCGAGCTTGCAACTTTGCCTCACCAGTCCGGAGCTCCCCAAAAAGTTTTTGAATAGTTCTCCATTCCTGTCCGACGCCATCCGCTAGGACCGAGTAGGGCCTGTGCGTTCCTCGGGACAAATTTTAATTATAACGGAAGTCCCTGTACGATCAAATTGCCGTCAGACAACCAAGGCCCACGTTATTATGATAGATCCACATCTAGATTGAGACTTGCGCCTGTTATCCGCTTTATACGTTCGCACTGACTCTTGAAGTTCCTTATGCTCCTAAGGGGAGAAAACACCAATCTCCAGCTAGGTTTGTTGCATTAACGATCAAAAGCCTCAAACCCAGGGCCCAGGACCCAGGAGGTGGTCTCGGTGGATGGTTCGGAGCGTGTTGTGGACGTTGGTAGTTGCACCATACTGCAACCTTTGCAACCAGACAAACTTGCAGCTGGTCTATAATTTACCAGCGCTTGTGATCACTTTAATGTGCATAGGCAGATGGAGGGCAGCGATATAGAGTAGCAGTAATTGCGGTTGGCACTCCACAGCCTTCCCCCTCCATCACGCAAACACGCTTTGCCGCCGCGTAATCGCAGCATCTTCGAGCGACTTAGCTGCGTTTACGTGACTGCGTCAAATGTAGGCATATCTGGGTAGAGCCTGCAGGATGCCAACATCCAATTCCGTTACTTACTGATGCTGCAGCATATTTGCGAGAGACTCGATTATGGGAGGCATAATCCTTCCCCATATTTCAGAGCAATAATCCGGTAGTAGCAATCCTTTCTTCACACCTTCTTGATCAGTTCTGTTGTTTGACAGCCTCGTGCTCGCTCGCCTCACGCCAGTTCCGTGCTCAGTTTTTCATGTCCCTTTCCTTTACTCGCCACACACGTCCCCTCAGCTCTTCTGAGCGCTCTATCGCCACGGCCTTCTATCTCCACATGAGGCCCTCCCTGGTGAAGTGGAAATAAAGGGTTGCTTTCTGGCTCCTAGGGGGGTACTGGGGCGTTGACGGCAGCGCTCTCTCCTCCAACCTGTCCCTTTCCAACTGCAGTGAGAATTTTGACGCTGCTATCATTAATGTTTCCACCACCGCTTGGTCCAGCAGTGCAGCTCTTTTTGTCTTAAGGAAGTTTACGATTTTCCATGGAAATCAGCCAGCAAGCAAGTAAACAAGCACCCGGAAACGTGCTTTTGGAATTTCATGTACATTACGAATGAATGTTGTTGTGTCCTAACTTACGTACAGTACATCCCAAAGAATTGTCGGTCCACACGCCAACACTAATGCTCCGATATTGATCACATAATCTGTGGGTGTGGTAGAACGGCCAAAATAATGTGAGGTGTCCCCGCCCTGGGTCGGTCTCGGTCCTTGGTCGATTCCGTCAGGCCCGGTCAGGCAAGGTCGCACACACACACATACACACACATGCACACGCACACACACGCACACGCACATAGATTATCTCCTTCGATAACATCACTCCTGCCACCCTTGTCAAGTCCTGCCCCCCTGCCCTCCTGTCCCCGCCCTCAAGCAAATACACACACACACACGCACGCACACACAATCATGCACGCTGAACGACTCCCTTCACATTCCCCCGGTCCCCCGCACACCCAAACACATACACCTCGCTGCGCGCGCTGGAATAACGTTGACCGCCTCCTCGTTACCCTCCCTCCCCGAGACCGCCTCCAGCAAAACCCACCCCCGCGCGCGCCGCCCCCCTTTCCACTTTCCCCTACCCCGTCGCCCTCCATTTCCCCTCCCCCCCCCCCGGCCCCTTCCCACACACGCACGCCAGCAGCATGCGCGCCAGCACGGAGAAACACAAAGCGTACGCTGAGACTGAGGTGAGGCCGAGGTGAGAGACAGAGGCCGAGGCTGACATACCACCACCATCGAGCCACACCCCGGGCATTTCCACGAGAAATCACGATCAACCGAATCCGTCAAACACACGTCCACCACACCAAAGTAACCCGCTTCTAACACGGTTACTTGTGCGCGCAAGTACGACGCCTGTACGACTCCAGTACGACACTAGTACGACGCCAGTAGCTTGGGATCCGTGATGGTCTTCACTCCAAACTCGTGTTGCCGCGACACCGCGTAACACAGGTGCGTGCTGTGGAGCCAGGAGTGCAGGTCTCGGAGCGAGGTAAGGCCCTCTGCCGTACGGAGCCAGGCGGCGCGACTGGCATCCTCCTTGCCCTGCCCGGATGGTGGTGATGTGTGCATGTGGGGGAAGGGGGGAGTAAAAGGGCAGTTGGTGGAACTAGGAAATGTTCATCTTCAGTTTTTTCTCCGCTCTCACACACACTCGTACACACACAGCTTTGCCTGCGAGGTCGTCAACCCTCCGCTTTCACGGGAAGGGTTCCTTGCGCCCCCCTCGGGGGGGGGAGCCCAGGGGGGAGACCACCTAGCCTGTGTGCTTGTAGCCGCATCGCACGCGCTGTGATATGACCAGCAATATGACCCTCTGCTTTGCCCGCTAGGATGGGAAATAAGTGGTTGCATCGGTAGCTCTATCTGGTCTACAGTTTCACACACTGGGAAATGCTACCGCAGGTCGCTGACGACTGACTGCTAGGAGCTCCTGGCTTCGGCGTGAAGTTATCTACGGGTAATCAGCCCCACTTCAGATGAGGCCTTTCCCCCCCCCCCCGCAGCATCCAGCCATCCCTCGACCTAGTGAGTTGTTGCCAATAAAAATAGATGGCGGAGATGCAGAGGCAGCGAAATAGCCCAAAGTCGTGAACCACCATCCATCGGCACTTCCCCCATCGTGGCTGCGAAAACCGTTAATACACCCTCCCCCCGCTCCTCTCCCCCCCCCCGGAAACCCACCCTCCTTATCGCCAGGACGTCCGGCTCAAAGATGCCCTCGTCCGAAGCCGCCACGAATAACAACTCAAACCTGACCTCGTGTGTGGGGTTGGGGGTGGAGGGCAGCCAACTGTCAGTGTGACGATGATGTTGCGGATGCCAGACTGACAGACAGATTGACAGACTGACAGATTGACAGACGGACAGACAGACGGACAGACGTACGTCCATCCAACCAAAGCTCATCCATCACATCCGCATCCCCCCAATTTGCAAATTCAATCCCGCACCACACCCGGGGGGGGGGGGGATCCCAGGGCGAGCCAGGGCCGCAGGGGGGCGGCATCTGGCCCTGGTCATCTCTCAGCAAGTCATGAGGCGGCGTCCTGTCTTGCCTCCCGAAGAAAGAAACTCTCCCCTCCACGCACACACGCTCTTTCTTCGCCCAAGATCCCCTTCCCTCCTTTCCTTTCCTTGCATACCAGCCCCTCCTCCCGCCCTCCTTCCCCCCTCTCCTCCCCCCCTCTCACCCTCACACCCCCTTTCCCCCAATCCAGTCCCCCCACCCCCCGGGCCGTCCCCACGAACCTTTTCGGGTCCCCGAACAGCTCCCTGGCCGCCATGCCGTACATTGTGTTAAACAGCGCCGCCGTACGGGGCATGTGGAAATCACTGGTCACCACACCCACCCGCCGCCAGCCCGCCGGTACGGCGTGTATGGTGAGGGAGAAGTAGGCGTTGCCCACTGTATCGTAGCTGGAGACCTGGGCGTGTGTGTGTGGAGGGGGGGGAAGAGGAGCAGGACGAGGAGCGGAAGGAGTAGCACGGGGAGGGGGAGTAGGAGGCGACGGGGGTGGGGGTGCGGGAGAAGTGAGAGGAAAAGGTAACAGGAGCACATTTCCCTCCATTTCCCCACCCCCACTTTTCCTCCCTTCCCCTCCCTTCCCTTTGCTTCCCCATCTTTTCCCGTCCCCCTCCTCTATACACACATATATACCCACGCACAGACATACATACACATACACATACACATACACACACAAACACACACCTCCTTGAGCAGCAGGTCCGCATCCGCCCCTCTCCGTGTCAGGTAGCGACTACACGCGGTTGCCTCGTGGATTACGAATCCGCCCGAGTCCAGGTAGGGGGCCTTATGAGGGGTGCCGCCGCCTGTAGGGGGAGGATGGGGGGAGGGACGGGAGGGGGAAGGGAAAGGAACACTAGGGACATGGAAGCCAGGATGAAGGAAAAAGGAGAAGGATGGAGTGAACGGAGTGAAAGGCCCCGGGTGCGTGTGTGCGCTTGCGGTGGTGCTTGTGTGTGGTGGTGTGTTTTGTGGGAGGTGGTGAGGGTTGAGGGGGCGGGGGAGCCTGCCGCGAGTGCGTAGTGTGTGTGTATGTGTGTGTGCATGTCGTGTGTGTGAACACGGTGAATGGAAGGTGCACATACACGGTTACGATGGTCATCAAGACGAATGGCAAAGCTGGAGGTGAATTTGAGTCAAAACAGGGTGTGAAACAAGGCTGTCCACTATCAACTGAGCTGTTTGGGCTCTACATTGAAACCCTCGCGGACGTCATCGATATGCACGACGGTATTAATACCGGGGCACGGCCAGAGGATGCACCGGAGGTTGGAAATGAGCGAGTGTCCATCCTTCTCTATGCCGACGACGTTAGCCTTCTGGCAACAACACCAGGACGCATGGGGGAGTTGCTCAACATTGTGGACATGTTCTGTGACGATTTTGGGATGCGCCCAAATGTGTCGAAATGTGAACGCCTCGTTTTTGCGAGTGACAGCAACATTAGAAGTGCTGTCCAAGCATCGTGTGATGAGCTCAGGCTGGCTGGAGAGGCCATACCGGCTAAGGATAGTGCGCGATATCTGGGGTTAGTGTATGGGCCGGAACGGCAGTTCTGGGCCTGCCGCCAGCAG